CGCCGCCGCGCTTCCCAAGCGGCGCACTTATCCAGTGCGCCACTGGGTCAGCCCCTTTTGTACATTTTTTAATCATAAATTTCTTTGAATGAAAATGCAGTGCAGCATGAACTGTATTCTCTAAATGAACAAATTCTGGACAGAAACCCAAGGATCGCTTCTGTCGCTGACGTGCTTGTGGCCTTGCAAGTCCCTTAACCTTTGAGACTCCTGTGGGGCTAAACTGGCCAATCTTTGAGATTTCTTCTAGCTCCTTCCAGTTGGTTCTTTTATAATGTTAGAGAAATGCCCCCTTAGAATAAAGGAAGCAGTTTTTCTCTGGATTCAGTTTCACAGAATCTTAAAAATTATTTAGCACCATGGTAACAGGTGCACTGTTTCACATAGACAGGATTAAAATCTAGTTTTGATCCTGGGAAAGAAATATGTGGGAAAAAAACAAAAAGCTCTCCATTTTCTCAATTTCTATTAATTGCTTATCCGAGATAATCTTGCTTTCAGTGCTTGCATTTAACTCCTTTGGATAGTATTACAACTGGTCTATTCTACAAGGATAACAAAAATCAAATACCACTCTCAACATGTATTCAGAACCCAGAGTAGTAAGCATTTCAGCTCCGGGACTGAGAGTTGGCTGTGTAGGAGAGAAGGGAATCAGACATTTTTCTGAGTACTGGAAGCTTGGGTGCTGCTATTATAATTTGAAAAGACACCAGAATCTGCACATTATTTTCATGTTTTAGAAAGATCGTTTTCTCACTACAAATATCAATTCACTTTTGAAACTTTGTTTACTTCTTAAAAGGCACCATAAGATAGCTTTCATGCTGCCGTAAAGGTATTTTATTGTTTGTATAGAACTTAAATACCCTCTAGAGAAGATTCTGAGTTTTTATCATAGGTTTTGAATTATATAATTCATATAAAAATCTCTTTTTTATTGCAAGTCATAACGAAATAAAAATCAATGGTGGTAGGAGGTTGCTTGAGAACCATTCTGGAACCCTCCTCCATGTCACTCTGGGACCAGTGTTCCCTCCTACTGCTGGGGGTGGTGTGACCACCAGCTTTTTTAGGCTACTTGGCAAGATTATCCCAAGTCATCTGGCATTTTAAGGACCATCTTGCAACAGAAGCTGACTAAAGACCATTGTTTCCATTTTGGTAAACTCGAGGTTGTGCTTAATTCCCTTCCTAGCTGACTGTGTTTGGAAGGTAACGCATACTCTCACGAGGGTCACCTGTGGACCCTTAAGACATCATTTACTCAAAGGTCACTGCGCTCACAGTTACTGCAGCTTTACAATAAGTCACATCATTACTGCTGGTTTCCCTTAATGAAGACGGGAAGGGAGGGACGGGGTAACACACCTTCCTCGAGTAGGGTAGCGACGCTCGGGGTGTTGTTCTGCGGCTGTTGCTCTGTCTGTGCATAATTGTAGTTTTTCTCTCTCCTGTTTATCATCAGGAATATACCAAGTAGGTAAGGATATGAAATGCTGAGTATTTTCTTTATGTTCTCCTTAGATTGCGTGTGCGCAAGTGTGATTTTTAAGTACTTAGAACTTCATTCATTTGCATTCTACAAATTCCAAATTCTAGAATTTCACTAAGCTGACATTTAAGCAAATTCATAGTTTTAACAAGATTGACTGCATATAACATGCGAGTTTTTCAAGTGATTTTGGAGCACCCGTTCATAAAGTGATAGTGATCATGAAGTGCGAGTCTCATCTTTTCATTAAGGCAGATTACCAGAGGCCTTTATAAACATAGTTGAGGCGACGGTAGTCGTTGAGTCATCTGCTTCCTAAGTGCCTGTGATGTGTAAGGTTCTGGGGGGACAATGAAAACGAGATAAATGTGATTGCTGCCTCACGGGATATTAATGCGGGCCACATGCAGTAGTAATGGTGTGGTTGACTGTGTTTACCTACCCATAATGATGTGACATTTCTTTAAAAATCTTCTGTGGCTTTGGCATTTCAGCAATTCAGCCTGCCCTTTCCTCTGTCATTCTGCTTTCTTGACATTATCCTATGTGATACTACATATGTGTACTTTCTTTTTTGCTTAAACAAAAACTTATTTCCTTTTTAAAATTTTTATTTAATTGGCAGGTAAAAATTGTATATATTTTGGTGCACTATATGATGTTTTGATATATGTATACATTGTGGAATGGCTAAAATCAAGCTATTTAACATAAGTACTATCTCACATACTTATCATTTTTTGTGGTGAGAATACTTAAACAGTCTATGCTTTCAAATATACAATATGTTGTTATTAATTGTAGTCACCATGCTGTACAATAGATCTCTTGACTATGTAGTGTAGTTTCTATCGTTACTTTGTAAAAATAATATTTGAAGGGAAAGGAGTTTTAATCCCTGCTTGCCTTAAGGCAGGATTCACACAGCGTAAATCTCTCTGTGTCCATCCTACTTTCCATTGATCATTATGATTCAGGTAGTTTAAAAAAAAAAAACTGTGCAATGCATAGCAAACAATAAGAGAGAGAGGTATATATATATAAAACCAAATAAAAACTCCTCCTTTCAGTCACATCAAAGGGCTGGGGTCCAGGCAGTGCCGCAGTTGAGTATTTTCTGTATTTCCTACGTTCCTCTCCTCTGCTTAGCTCTGCAGAGAGGCCAGAAGCCTGTGCATCCCCAGCTTCTCCATTGAAGTCAGTGAATGATAATGCAAGGATCTGTGACTGTAGTGGGGAGGGGGTGGGCTGGGGATGGGGACAAGAGCCCAGTCACAGGCTGCAGCTCCAGGGGTGCCCAGGCAGGGCTGGCAGCATGGTGTGGAGGGGCTTTTTTTCCTCCACTGCCTTTGCATCCCCGCTCTCTGCCACCCTGGAGGAAAAGTGATCTTACCTCTGGGTATCAGTAGCTTAATGGGCTACCCTTTGTGACATTTGCTGTTACTTTATAAGTTTGGGTTCGCAAGGCTAGCCTATCTGACGAAGCTAATGATCACCTTTTAGGCATTATGCCTGCAACTGTAGTGGCTGTCACTGGATGAATGGCGGTGCCTGGCTGTGCTTGCGTTGCACAAATCGTCAGGCTCCTTCTAGGTTTGGGGCAGGGAAAGAAAGCCTGAGAATAGCTGGAATCCAGACAACTGTCTCCTTGCTAAGAGAGATGTTGTTCATTCAGTCTTTTACATAATTTCTAATTGCTTGGGATAACTATCAAATATAATTCAGATTGAGAGAAAATACAAAAACCTGCATATCCCTGGTGTGCATTCCTTATGTAAGGTGTAACTACTATGTCTTACTGCTTTGCTTAGCTCTATCTTTTTTTGCACTAAGGAGAAACCTCTCCATTTTTCCCTTATGCTTGAGGTTTCAAACCTTAGGCTTTTGTATAAAAACAGTTTGTGCACACGCTGTCTTTTTCTGTTGGCCTGTTGGCCATTTATTTTAAAGCAGCATCCTGAGGTGACTGTGGCTCGTTAGAGGGTATCAGTTGATCATCAGAGCGTGATTCACTAGCTCTTTCTGTCTCTTCAGCCCCTCTTCATCTTTCCCTCTCTGTCTTTTTAAAATTAAAGTTTATTGTGGTTATTTTTACTATAAAAATATTACTCATTAGAGAAAACCCTTATTATAGAAAATACAACAAATTGGAGAAAATCACCTATTATACCAAAATCTAATCTCTGTTAACATTTTGAAATGTTTCTTTTCTGTCTTTTTTCTATACATTTAAATTTCTTCTTTTTCACGGGTCTTTTTACTTTACTTTTTAAAAAAATTAATGTGGTGGGCTGGCCAGTTAGCTCATTTGGTCAGAGTGTGGTGTTATAACACCAGGGTCAAGGGTTTGGATCCCCTTATCAGCCAGCTGCCAAAACAAACAAGCAAACAAACATCAAAAATTAATGTGGTGAAATATACATAACATTAAATTTACCCTCTTAGCCATTTTTAAGTGTACTCTTCATCTCTTTTTAAAGTGGGATTTAATTACCTGCAGGCAACAGCTTCTTCTTTCATGTTTCTTCAAGTTTGTTTTCTTTGTACATCAGAACTGAAAAGCCAGTTGTTAACCAGTGAAGGCCATGCCCCAAGTCCCCCTCTCTTTTGTTTACTCAATAGTATATCATCACCTTGGCAATTAAATTTATATCACCCCAGCTCCCTCCCTCCCAGATGCTAGTGAAAGTTCCGCGCTGCTGTAAATGTTTTTTTCTAAAAGTTCTGTAAATTGATGAACTGAGCAACTTCAGACTCCTGTCTTTTACCTTTTCTTACTGAAAAATTTAAACCACATTTAGACAAAACGGCAATTTTTGGCACAATATCATCATGATTTTCTTACATCTTTTCTAAGGGTATTATACTTTTTAATGAAGCTGAAAGAGACAATATTTAGCCCAGACCACTGGAGTGGGGATGTATTTTTGGTCAGTGGCCCATCTGAGGATTCTTTCAAAAATAATCCATAATTTTCATTATTTGTTATTTCTTTAAGATGACTTTATTATTTGTTTT